GCAGTAGTAAGGACAGCCCAAGAGCATATGTCCACTTAAGTTCCTGTCAGCTACCTCTGCCAGGCAGGTGGTGGCTCAGTGAACAGGGACAGATAGACTTGGAAGTCACTGCCTAGACTCCATCAGAGGGCACTCGTGGTAGTAAGCTTGTGATAAATACCATTGGCAGCCTGTTTCACTCACAGAATTTACTAATGGGCCAGTAAGCTATACAGTTCTTGAACTGTTCATTTGTATATTGTGTTGTACTGTTGGCATTGCCCTGGGTAGTCAGCAGTAAACAACGGGAAGGAAATCTGCCTCCAAGGGGCTTAGGATCTACTAGAGAGATGGTTAGCTCAAAAAGCGGTAGGAGGAGCTGTGGTAGACGGAAGAGCTCTGGTCAACCTACTGGGTAACTTTCCCTTTTTTCTGTTAACTGTCAACAATCATTCTGTAACAGAAAGCAGTTGTTTTGGTTCGTTCTGTGATGTTGTTCCTGGTGTGGGGAGGTTTCCATGACCCCTTCACATTCTATTCATTCTGTGATACTGTTGTAGTGATACATTCTTTCCATTTCCCCCTGCCTTGCTCTGGTGGGTTGTATCCAATGCCTACAGGAGAATCAGAAACCTCAAAACTCCTTCAGTGCATCCACCTCCACTTTGGTGTGGACTTGCTGGATATTTATGCAGCTTGCTTCTCTGGAAGGAATGACTTCCAAGAAGGGACAGATGTCTCAGTGTAGGGCACTTTTAACTATCTTTTACATATGAGTTTTAATTCACTTCCATCATACAGTAGATATTTTTAATACTTTGATATATTAGTTGTCATAGTGGGTATTGTTTCTCTTGCATATTTTTAGGGAAATACTCTAAATTCTTTTTTTTAATATCAGAAAACTCTAAAGCATTTATAAAACAAAAACAACAAAACAAAACAAAATACAGAACTGGTAGGCTACCCTGAAGACTAAGAGAATCAACCTCTTGGCCAAATATGTTCCCAGTTAGTCTTTGGGACTTAGCTTAAAATGTCAGCTCCTCCCTCTGTGTTCTCTCTGACCCCAACAGCCCTCTCTCATGTTGTCATTTGCGTGGTTCTCGTGCAGGATGTTCAATGTCCTCTTTCTCTCTTCTTTTGAGGCCATTGTTTTAAGCAAAACTCATTCATCTTTTCTTTTCTCTGCCACAGGAATCTTAGCCCTTTCAAATCACAGAAAACATCCTTGGCTACACTCAAGAAATAAAGCTCTGTAGATATAGTGTGTGCATGTGTGCAAGACAGCAGGAGAGTTCACAGCACTGAACTAACTTTTGACAAAAGCTTCTTTGGCATATGTTCTGGCCCCAGCTCTTTCATTCCAAGACACTGGCTCACTAGCTGTCGAACAGCAAAAGACTCCAGCTGTAACTAGAAAACATAAGCCGTGTGTGAGAGCTCAGCTGCAGTCAGGGGCGGGTGGGTAAGGAAGAGAACAGCCTATCCTGAGCTGGGCTCTGAGGCCACCTACAGACCCTTCATCCCGATCTGATAGGCTGGAGGGGCATCTCTGTGGAGAGTTAAGTCCTATCAAAATGGCAGCAAATGGAAAAATGGCCCTGCTTGTATAGGCTATTTGTTTGTTTCTATAACTCTAAAATTGTTCGTTAAAAAATGCAGTCTTTTAATTGAAAACAGAAAGGAAGGAAGGAGCGATGGCTTAGTGGGTAAAGCACTGGTTTTTCTTCCAGAGGACTTGGGTTCAAAACCAACTACCTTCATGGTGGCTTACAACAGTCTATAACTCCAGCTCCAGGGATCTAACGCCATCTCCTGGCCTCTGTGGGTACTGTATGCATGTGGTACACAGACATACACACAGGCAAAACACCCATATGCATAAAATAATTTTTAAAATTTAAGAGAAAGAGAGGAAGAGAAGAAAGGAAGGGGTAAAGAAGTAGAAGGCAGGCCCTGGTCTACAGAATCACACTGGACTGAAGATGGCCTGAGGGAGGCTGTCACCTGTTCCCTGTGCTTTATACTTCCCTCCATTTCTCCAGATATGTAGTAAAATTGGATAAAAACAAACAACAAAACCCCTAGCTGCTGGAGGCCAGTGGTATCAGGGAAATGGAGAAAGAATGCAAACCAATGAGAGGTGAAGCAACACTTAGTCTTCCTATAGGACGTCTAAGAATTTGGAGTGGGAAAGCTCAAGAATGCAAGCCTCAGGGAATCTGTGACATTACGCTGTCCAAGACGGTACACGCCATCCACAGGTGGCCTTGGAGCACTCACAATAGGACGAGTCCAAATTGACATGTGTTAAGCTAGAGTGAAAAAAAAAAAAAAAAGAAAGCCAGACAGCTCAAACGCTATGCTAATTAAAATAGTATTTTGACACATGCAGCCAAATGAGATACATTATGAAAATTAAATGGACTTGTCCCTTTTCACCTTTCTAACACAGCTATTAGAATATTTTGAGTTGCACATGTGGCTTTGAGTAGTGATCGCTAGAATCTTTGGGAAGCCCTGGATCCCCTTCAGAGTATCCTACCCTCCATGGTAAAAGATTAACCCCGGAGGCCTGGGACACAAGACAGCAACACTGGCAGACTCCCTGCAAGAAGACAGAAGCTTACAGGAGTAGATGACTTTCTTTGCTTTAGCAGCTTTTTGCTAAATTTCCAAGTTCCTAAGACATAGCACATGCTCTAAAGCAGGAGGCAGCCTAAGGAAAGCATGCAAGGCATCGGGAACGCATTTACAGCATGAGACAAGGTACACATCTCCAACATAAAGACGCTAAGCTCAGTCAGTGGATTTAAACCAGAAAATAAGGGAACCAAGAAATCACCAGAGGACAGGGAGCTGTGTCTCTGAATCTCTTAAAGTTCACTAGGGGGATCAGACAGATGTGTGGCTGCCGTCACCTACACGTTCTATTTATTTCATGCCTCATCTACTTCGTGAGGCAGGTGTCTGGAAATTCATGAGCAAAAGGCTCAATTACAAAAATGCTGACACCAAGTTACCCAAATCGGGTAGAACCAGAAACCAGTCCTCAGACATGCTGCATGTGGCGCCTGTGTATGGGGCCCAGCTCCTCTAGGTTCAGCACTGTGTATCTATGGTTACCAGTATGAGGCCCATGCAAGCTTCAGATCTCAGGTAATGTAATAGCACACGGTCTACACAGCTGAACGCTCGGCACCCGTGCATCCTGAGGATCCGTGTGGGATGTCTCAACACTCCAGCTGGCCACACTTATTCCAGAGGGTTCTTTTTAAAAGAAGGATCAAATAATCCCTGCATATAATACATATATGTATAATATATACACCACATAATATGTACGTTATGTGGATAATGTATACATTTTATTTATATATATTATACATATTATGTTACATATTGTATGTAGTATATACATATATTATACATATTATGTATATATTATGTTTATATTATATATTATATATGTGAATATATATATATATGCATTAAAATACTTCTTTTAAATCAATTTAGTTGCCAGTTTCTTCCTGTGTCAAGAGCACATACGCTCTAGGCATTTAACAGAACTCTGAGTGTAATAACACAGTCATCAGCCAGCGCTTGCATGCACTCAGCACTGAGCTTAGTGGATGGAGCTAACTCCGCCCACTCCCCCTCCTTCTAGCTTCTCTCCTGTAAAGCTTACATGCAATGGGAGAAGCAACTGACACAGAGTCCAGGAAAGCACCCTCCTCTTTCACACAGCTGATGGTTACTAGATGCTTATCAACCACCCGGGAGCCTCTGGGCCATGGGCAAGTGGCTTAGGTGGCAGTGCAGTGTCTGTACTAGGATGCCTGGGTTCCAAGGACAGGAGCACAGGGCAGTGCGAAGTGAGGCCAGGGAGCATGCTCAGAAGCCCGTGCTCCAGGGAGCATGCTCAGAAGCCC